TGTGATGCCATGGCACTCTACCCAGGGGGATAGCTTGAGGCTCCGTCTCAAAAAAAAAAAAAAAAAAGAGTAGGTTAAAAGGAAAACATCAGGCTAGGCATGGTGGCTTATGCCTATAATCCTCGCATTCTGGGAGGCAGAGTTGGGTGGATTGCCTGAGCTCACTAGTTAGAGACCAGCCTGAGCCAGAGCAAGATCTCGTCTCTAGAAATAGCAGGACTTTGTGGGGGGTGCCTGTAGTTCCAGCTACTTGGGAGGCTGAGGCAAGAGAATCGCTTAAGCCCAAGAGTTTGAGGTTGCTGTGAACTGTGATACCGCTGTACTCTGTTGAGGGTGATAAAGTGAGACTCTGTCTCCAAAGGAAAAAAAAAAGGAAAAGAAAAAGGGAGGGAAAACATGGGCAAAAAGGTAAAGGATAATTAGAATATGAGTAAGTTGGCTCGGTGCCTATGGCTCAAGTGGCTAAGGCGCCAGCCATGTACACCTGAGCTGGCAGGTTTGAATCCAACACGGGCCGGCCAACAACAATGACAGCTGCAACCAAAAAATAGCTGGGCATTGTGGTGGACGCCTGTAGTCCCAGCTACTTGTGAGGCGGAGGCAGGAGAATCACTTGAGCCCAGGAGTTGGAGGTTGCTGTGAGCTGTGATGTCATAGCACTCTACCCAGGGGGACAGCTTGAGGCTCTGGGTTGGATTTGGTACCTGCCAGCTCAGGTGTATTTTTTGGTTGGAGTTGTTGTTTGGCGGGCCCAGGCTGTGCTACAGGTGCCCAGCTGGAAAGGAGATTTCTGAAGAAATTCACAAAGGATACTAGGAAAGACATCTGAATGGGAATGGATTTATATACGTATTGAGATGACCATAACTATCTACTACTAGTATGTGTTCCATTATATGAACAATATAGAGGTGGGCTTCTACTGTAACTATTTGTGTGGAGTGTTGTGCTGCGGGTCACAATAACAGAATCAGATAGAACAAGTAGTGAGGAAGAGCAGAGTCCCAGAGTGAGACAAGTAGTAAGGAAGACCAGAGTCCCAGAGTCAGAACAAGTAGTGAGGAAGAGCAGAGTCTCAGAACACTTCTCTTGTGATTCTTTTTTTTTTTTGAGACAGAGCCTCAAGCTGTCCCCCTGGGTAGAGTGCCATGGCATCACAGCTCATAGCAAACTCCAACTCCTGGGCTCAAGCGAATCTCCTTCCTCAGCCTCCCAAGTAGCTGGGACCACAGGCGCCCGCCACAATGCCCAGCTATTTTTTGGTTGCAGCCGTCATTGTTGTTTTGCGGGCCAGGCTGGATTCAAACCCACCACCTTAGGTGTATGTGGCTGGCACCTTAGCCACTTGAGCCACAGGCGCTGAGCCTGTGGTTCTTTTTTTTTAAAGTTTCCTTAAATTTAATATCATAAAGAAATACAACTATAATTATTAATACTGCTGTAGTTTTATATATATGTTAAAGTTCCAAGGCTATATATAATTATCAAGTAATATCAGTAAGCATTCCTATCATAATAGTCAAGCAAATGAAATTAGGTTGCTATTTTGTAGTTGCTGATGCTGTTGCTGCTTCTGCAGGTGGAGACCAGATAGCAGAGACATAGTAAGATCAGACAAATAAAGATTTGGGAAGGTTCATCGAGGTCTCATTTCACTCCTATAGGAGACTAAGTGTCACAGACTATTGAGTTCTTTAGTAAGCACTTTGGATTTTTTTTTCAGCTTCAAAAAGCCGGCTCCAAAACCGCCTGCTCTTCCACTTGGCTCACAAGGTATTTCAGTTCTCATTTTACATTTTTTGTTTTAAGAATATTTTTGTCTTCCTTCTTTTTACCAACACTAGTAAAAGATAATCAAATAGAAATTCTTGTTAATGGTATTACTGGAACAAGTGGAATATAAGTATGAATTTTATAGGATTTTCTCCCTTGTCAATGTTCTTCACTCTCTTAATTTATGCAGAGATGTTAGGTTTTAGTTCTCCTTATTAAGCAGTGGTCATTTAAGGTTAGTTTGTGTCAGCTATCCTGTTATCTCTTTTAAAAAGACCCAGAGAGGGGTGGCACCTGTGGCTCAAAGGAGTAGGGTGCCAGCCCCATATGCCGGAGGTGGCAGGTTCAAACCCAGCCCTAGCCAAAAACTGCAAAAAAAGACCCAGAGAGGGCGGCACCTTTGGCTCAGTGAGTAGGGCGCCAGCCCCATATACTGAGGGTGGCGGGTTCAAACCTGGCCCGGGCCAAACTGCAACAACAACAAAATAATAAATAAATAAAATAAAATAAAATAGCCAGGCGTTGTGGCGGGTGCCTGTAGACCCAGCTACTTGGGAGGCTGAGGCAAGAGAATCGTCTAAGCCCAGGAGCTGGAGGTTGTTGTGAGCTGTATGATGCCACAGCACTCTACTGAGGGTGACAAAGTGAGACTCTGTTTCTAAAAAAAAAAGATGCAGACATCTTGTCCTGACTTCTGGAAACAAGTAGACACTTTCCAGAATTATATTATGGCGTTAATTTTGATTACCATCAAATGATTTTTTAAGAAATAATTTTTCTGGGGTGGTGCCTGTGTCTCAAAAGGGTAGGGCGCTGGTCTCATATGCCGGAGGTGGTGGGTTCAAACCCAGCCCC